CAGTGGCCTTCCCCGCACAATTGTCTGTCCATGGGCTATGCATATATGCATATAAGTTCACTGGTTAATCTCTCTCCCCACCCTCCCTCTGAACTATGTCAGTCTGTTGCGTGCTTCAGTGTCTCTGGATATTTTTTGTCTGTCAGTTTATTTTGTTCATTAGATTCCACATATAAGTGAGATCATGTGATACTTGTCTTCCTCTGATGGGCTTATTTTGCTTAGCATAATGCTCTCCAGGTTCCTCTGTGCTGTCCCCGAAGGTAAGAGACCCTTCTTTTTTAGCCGCATAGTGTTCCATTAAAAACTATACCACAGTTTTTAATCCACTCATCTACGGATGGACACTTGGGCTGTTTTCAGATGTTAGCTATTGTAAATAACTCTGCTATGAACATGGGGGTGGGTCTATCAGTGAAAATTATGCAGTGTGAGATATCTGATGTTTTGCTGCCTACATTTTCTTCTAGGATTTTTATGGTTTCATGACTTACATTTAAGTCTTTTCTCTACTTTGAGTTTATTCTTGTGTATGGTGTAAATTGGTGGTGCAGTTTCATTTTTTTTGCATGTACCGGTCCAGTTATCTCAAAACCATTTATTGAAGAGACTGTCTTTATTCCATTGTATGCTCTTGCCTCCTTTGTCAAATATTAATTGACCATAATGGCTTGGGTAGATTTCTAGGTTCTCTGTTCTGTTCCATTGATCTATACGCCTGTTCTTGTGCCAGTATCAGGCTGTTTTGATTACAGTGGCTTTGCAGACCACCCCCATGGCTCAGTGCTTAGTTCTGGTCCATCAAGCATTTAATTGATGATTGAAGTAAAGATATAAGAAAGCCTGCCGAATAAAAGACCATAAACTGGGAGGGATTGCTAACATCCTAAAGAACAAACCCTACAAGTTTGAATATTAACCAGGAGGAACAGGACTGGATGAAAGGCCTCTTCTGGGAGGGAGACTGAGAAAAAGGGACCTGGTCCACCCAGGTTGAGAGGCTAGACCAGGGCTGTAGGAATGAAGGGGAGATGAAGTCTTGAGAGGGTTTTCTACCTTGGGGACTCCCTGGGTGGAGGGGAGAAGTGACTGGGTCAAATGTAATGCCAAATGTGATAGACTGGAAGACTGGGATGGAAGACATGAGTGACACAGAGAGAAGAAAGTTGACTGACAGCTAGCGTGAGGGTTAAATGATGAATTTGACTTTGAACTTGGCAGGAGGCTTGAGAGTTTGGTGGCACAGTCAAAGGAAACTTCTAACACACAGATGTGACTCCATTTGGATCAGAGAGCAACACTCCAGTTAAGCTGCAGTTCTGAGGATTCACTGAAATGGTTATGGCTGACATTTTGGGGGAGCTGCTCTTCTCAGACACTAGCCATGTTCTACGTATCCTTCCCTGATATTGTCGATCTTACTCATTTTTTTAAATTGAGAATATATACACACACAGTTTAACAAATTATTATAAAAACTCATGTCCTTAACATCCAGATAAAAAAATAAAACATTTCCAGCACCCAGAAGCCCTGACATGATCCTTTCAGTCATAGCCGTCTCCCATCCCCAAAACGTGCCCACTCTCTTACTTTTTGTAATAATATTTTATTTGTTTTTCTTTACAATGTTATATCCATACATGCATCCCCGAACAATAGAATTTGCCTCTACTGGTTCTTGAACTTTGAATGGAATTGACATGTTTGGATTCTATTGTGTCTGGCTTCTTTCACTCAACATTGTTTCCACAATTCATCTATGTTATTTGTAGCTGTGGCTCATTTATTTTCACTGCTGTATAGTATTCTGCGAATATGCCCAAATTTTTCTACAGCTGATGGGATATTTGGGTCACTTTTGGACAATTATGAAGAATTCTTCTATGAGTTATCTCCAAATTTACTGGATAATACCAAACTGTTTTCTAAAATACTGTTCCAATTTATAGCCCCACTCTTTCCATGTATGTCTTAGTCTGCATCACAGTTCTGAGGGGTAGATTTAATTGACATAATCCTCCAGGTGAGGTGGGTAATATATATCCAGTGTGGGTTTCTGGCACACCATGAAGGTGGGAATTTGAAACTAGATCCCTAGATGCAGTGCTGGATTCTTTCTTTGATACCTGATTACCCTCAGATGGGTTATCTGTCTAGGCAGGAAGCTAGACAGTGAAGGGCTGAGGACTCAAGTTGGAGAATGATGCTTTGGGGTGGGTGGGGAAAGGGCAAGAATAAGAGCCTTCAGGGACGCAAAGAACTTCTGAAGACAGTCAAGGAGACACGCCAGATTTTTTAGTAATAAAAGTAGCTAACATATTGCATGCTTAGCAGGTTTTAAGCACTTGACATGCACACTCTCAATCTTATGAAGCAGTCATTTTAATAATCATATTTTATAGGGAGAAAATGGAGGCTCAGAGAGGTTAAAGAATTTTGCAAGCCACAGAGCTGATATGAGGCAATCTGAGGCAGAGATGGGTTTTGAGTCCAGATAGTCTTAACAATTTCATTGTGTGCAACCCAAAGTGTCGAGATGGGTGTGTGTGCGTCAAAAGTGGCAGATGAAGGTTGACAAAGGACTGGTGGCTTTGACACCAATAAAGAGAGCTTTGGGGAATCTAGATAGAGTACCCACAAGAGTGGTTAGAAAATCTATGAGGTATTTAAAGAGGAAGTGGAGAGGGAAAGGAATCCCCCAGCCTGTGAAAGCAGAGAATGGGGTGGGGGGAGGTAGTTGGAGGAGCAATAGTTCATGCAAACATGTTTTTCATGACTCAGAAATCTTCAGAACAATTGTCAGGGTAATCATTTCTTTAAATATGGGATGCACCTTCATGAAAAGAAATGAGCAATTGAAACCCAGTTTACATTCCCATGAGTATAATTGGATTTCACTGACTTACATTGCACAGCGAGGCTCCCCCACAGTCCTGATAATGGGGAGTCAACCAAGCTCACAAACAAAGGCTCATCCCCACAGCAATCCCTGAGCAATCACATACTTTGCAGGAGATAGCATGAGTTGCTGCAGCCTTTCTGGAAAAAATCTGGCAGTAGCTATTAAAATTTTAAATGCACCTGTCTTTTGACCAGGCAACCACATTTTGGGGACTGTAACCTACAGAAATAAATGCTGACATACAAAAGGGTATAATATGCAAGAGTCACCTAGAATGGTGGCACCTAGGAAAGACTGGAAAGTTCTTTGATCGAGACGTGGTTGATTAAAAGCTGTTCAATGGAAAATTCTGCTGCTCTGGTTTTAGTCTACAGCCATTGACCAGAAGGCAGGTCTCTGATTTATTACTAAGCAAAAGCAAGGACACAAACATGAAAGCAGATCCCTGGAAAAGATGTATAGTATGATCCTTTTTGTTTTTTGTTTGTTCCTGGTAAAAAAAGAATCGACCCGAAGCCTTGTATGTGTATATATGTTTGTATGAACAAGGAGGAAATGTAAAAAGACATACAAAACTGTAGGTTGCCTCTGAAGGAGATTAATTTTAAAAACATATACATCTTATTATTCACACTATGTAGATACATATTTTATATATAACATATATTATGGTGTGTATATTATATTTTATATTGTATACAGTAGCATGAAAAGATATGTACTGGAATCTGGAAACAGCCCAAGTGTCCATCAGTAGATGAGTGGATAAAAAAGCTGTGGCACATTTACCCCAAGGAATACTATGCAGCTGTTAAAAAAGGAAAGATCTCTTACCTTTTGAGACAGCATGGAGGGACCTGGAGGGTGTTACGCTAAGTGAAATAAGCCAGTCAGAGAAAGAGAAGTATTACATGATCTCACTTATATGTGGAATCTAATGAACAAAA